AAATTAATAAAGTATTCTTTAAATGATTCATTATTTACTGGAAATGATCTCCAAAATTTCGCATATGCCATATTTTACTATAAATATCCAAAAGATACGTATAAATGATTTTATTCATTACAATTTACTGAGAGATGTCGTGCTTAATTTTGTACTGTGTATGAGTCATTTCATAATCAATTCGCATTTAAATTAATTTAAACGCCCAATTTACACTTCGAAAGCAATCCCTAATAGCAATGTCACCTTCATTTGAAACAACTAGGATCCCAATTCGGTGCTTAGATGCTAAAATGCACACTTCTTCCCACTTCTATACACTCTATCCAACTTCTTTCACACCAGTAGAAATAAGGGGAAAATATATCTCCAAAAATGACTAAACAACATGGAATGCCCTGGAGCCCGTCTCAGATTCGAGAGGTTCTATCATTTAAAAGGAAGAACCCCTACCATTGGTATTATGTAGGCACGCTTACGATCTTGTTAACTAAGAAGAGGTAAAGAAAGATCCAACCGCCTCTTATCAAAAATTGTAAACTCCAGATTCTGACCAAGAAAACTAAATGCAAATGAATCTATTTCATATTTTTGATATAAGTAGTTTTTAAAACTAAAAGTAATCCTTGAATAAGAAAGCAGTCTCACTAAGTCGCTCAAGGTGATTTGCATACTGCACCATGAAAAGTTGGTTTAACAAAGGCGTAACATTTACTAGGTTTTTTAAGAGCCTGGTGTAAAAATAGAGGCTGAGATTTTTTCGCCCGAATAGATTTGCTATCTTAGCCTTCGTTCTAAATGTGAATTATTCTCGTGGCCATCCGAGATGCAAGATTACTTTTAAATATGCTACTAATAATTAACGCTATTTGGTCAATTTATCCAACATCCGACGTTGAAAATTGAGCTCGTAAGCTGTAAGAAGCGTCGGCAATGATTACCAAAGCAAAGGAAGTTATCCATATCCCTTACCAATGGGGGCCATAAACGCAATAGCTGGAGTTTTTTCATAGCATCAGCGTTTATTTAAAATTGAGCTGAGCATATCACAAATCAAGCAGCATATTTTTCATTGTCCTTGAATTTTAACAGATAAAAATGATATCAAATCCAGAATAAAGGCCATCAAATGCATAAAATAGCTTTGTCTATTTATCTTTTATTGAAAGAGTACTGCATTAATAAATTTAGTTAAAGTATTAGTAATTGCTAAACCAAAATGTTTTCACCATGGAGTGTAATATGTTTAAAAAAAAGTTAATTTTAGATTAAGAACGCACAATTGACGCAGTTCCAAACCTTGGTGAGCACAAATTGGCAGTGTATGAGGCTGAAGCTCCAAAATAAAGCTCCAAAGCAAGTGACGATAATAGATGCCAAGATTATTGATTTTTTAGCTAATGCTTCCTCTACATTTTCTTGTTCTACCTCAAAGATTGTTGGAACTATAATATGTTCCGTTATGAAGTAAAGCTCAGAAAGATTTTTTAGTAGAAAAAGAAAAGTAATTTATTCTCTCTATATTCAATACTAGATTTCATTCGTTTAAAAATCCATCAGAATGGAAAATAGTCATCCTTGTACTTTAAATAAAAATGAATTATCAATGATCCCCATAGTACCTAATGCATTTCTAAAGTATTAAATTAATATTTTAGCTAAAATTCGACATTTAAAGCCTATTTTTGTCAGTCAAATTGCTCATTTAGCATTGTATTGTTTCCTGTCTTGTAAATCCTAATTGCTAGACAAATAAATAAGGCTGCACAAGCAAAAAACCATCCATGCACATAGAGGGTTCCTAGTCGAATTTAACCTCACCTTTGTGGCATGCCAGGAGGTGGTTTCCTATCCATCACCACCAGACCGCTAAGATGGCTCATTGTACGAACAGTGGCTCCAGACATAAAGGGCCATCCAAGACAGCCGCTCAAAATTGGAAAGAGGATCATTGTGATTGCATAGTCGGCCATGAAAATACCAGGCTTAGAAGCCTTGTTTTTAAGAGCGGTAATTCTGGAGAGATTCGTGAAAAAAATAAAAGTTCATTTTACTCGTAAAAATATACTCACTAATGTTAGGGGCGAATGGGAGTAGCAGGATTTTTTAATTCAATCTTGTTCGCTTAGTACATTGCAAATTTATTCAAAAGAATAACCCTTTTTCTATAGTAGCACAGAAGCTGATTCTATAAACAATGATGCTATTCTACAAGGTAACAGTCCAAACCAGCTTTCTCCCGTAGTGAAAAGTGTATAGTAAAAATACTTATAAATACGAAGAGAAACTGGGTTTCGATTAATCTCCAGAGATAATATTGTTGGGGGGGACTTTTATTTCGTATGAAAGTACATGAAGAAGAGATTCGTAGGTTGATCTCACCAGAACAGTCGTTGTACTGCAGCCGTTTGGCTTCTATATGACGATCAGGTTGACGCAGTCCACGAGATCTCCTCCCTCGTATCGAATGAAAACGGGCTGAGCTTTTGTCCATCATTTCATACGAAATAAAGTTCCCTCCAACAATAAAAAATACTTAGTAAATCTTGTTAAAAACTGAGCTTGGAGGTAACAGACGCTGGTATGATCATATTGTGGGTCTGAATAGCCCAATATATATATATATATATATATAGATAGATAGATAGATTGATTGATTGATTGAT